AGCCCATACACGGCACAGCGGAGTAAGTTACAAATAAGACTATCAGACAGCACTGCAGCATTTAACACTCTGGTTCATTCAGTTTTATTCAGATTGCTTTATCATACATCATCAGAACATGACATGCGGATGCTGACAGAAATAATAAACACATAAAATTTTGGAAATACATCTTGTGTGCAACTTTAGTTGAGCTTGAAAGAGTAACATACCCAAAAACGTTTGATTGCAATTTACATTTTTTAAGACATATTTTTCTTGATTATAAAATGCATGTGTATTAAATATTTGTAAAATTACTTAAAAAATTACAAAGTAGAAAAATAGAACCACCCAGAATCAACTACTGTTAACTTTCTGGATTATAGTTCATTTGTTTCTTCTTCTGATTTTCATATAATTGGAATCACACTACAAATAATCTAAATTTTTTTCTATTGATAGATTGTAAACATTGTTTCATGTCTGAAATTTACCTTTAAAATCTATTAAAGTTAACGGAATTCTCGCACATTTACATCAAATCTCATTGTTCCATTTTACATTCCTATCTGGTCTTTATTTGGATAATATGACAAAGAGGGTTTTCTGAACCCGACTAGGCAACAAATAGAACTTACCTTTCTCCGATCTTTAAGAATCCTGTCCAAACTTTCTTCATTAACTTTGCTTGCGTAGTCATAAAAACTGTTTTTTGTTAAAGGGAAGAATATTTTAGATTAAATTAAAATCGCACAGTATGGTGACATGCGCATGCTTAGCTACGTGTCGACGGGGCACCTAACTCTAAAAGTTGGTAGTAAGGATATAATTGCTTGTCTTCAATAGGTATATAAAGAAAAATCAATCTTTACGCTTTATTACAATGAAGTATCTTTTGCATTAAAGAACACTGGAGAGATCGCCACTTTCAAAGGATACAACTTCCACATGTGGAAGGTGCTGGTATCAAAACGTATTGTTTCAAATGACCATGATATCTTTTGTTTCTAAGTAGCAATCACTTACAAAATAAAAAATAATGCAGCAGCCTATTTTCTGAGAAAAGAAGGGAAATGAACATTTATCGAGTGCTTAATATACAGAAGACACCAGGCTGCATGCTTTCTCATGTTACTTCATTTCATTTTTGCCTCAGTGCTGGGAGAGAAGTGCTAGTTAAGCCCAACAACTCCACAGGTTTTACTCCCATTTTTGTAGATTAGGATACGGAGGTTAAGTGACTTGCCCCAAAACACAGAGCTAGTAGATGGAAGAGCTGGGATTGGAACCCAGGTCTGGCTAGCTTCAGGCCTAATGTGCTCACCTCTAGAACAGACCAACCTGCCCAGGGTCCTCTGGTGAGCAAGCCAGGTGTAAGGCAATGGGGGCCTTCTCTATCACTGGTCAAGGCTTTAGGAATGCCACTCCTACCCCCTTCCTCCCACCATCTAAGCCTAGGCCTTATGAGGCAGGAGGGAGTTCAAGGTCCAGTAGAAAGAGCACTGACTCCGGAGTCAGAAGATCACAGTTCCAGCCCCAGTTCTGCCTCTCACTGTATGATCTTGGGCAAGTCACTTAACCTATTTGGCTTCCACTTCCTTTCTTATAAAATAAGGACTTTGGAGTGTACAGGTGATTTCTAAGGTTTCTAAGTTCTAAGAATTATGAGTCCATGATTTAAACTTGGTTAAATCCTTGCTCTGGTACTACTTGCTGACAGTGTTTTAAGGAATTCCTCAGAAGGCCGAGGCAGGGCATGCCCAGGGAACCTTTGGATAGCCAGGGCCGAACTGGATACTTCGTAGACCAAGCAGGGGCAACGCGCAGACCAGC